AATTTGTGGAGGGGAAGGGGAAAAACAAATCGTTTAAATAGGGATACAGGTGGACCCATTGCAACAATGAGATGTACAAGTCATTATGTCGAAAATGAACTTTATAACTTTGGTGCGGGGTGGAGGGGGGACGATTGGGGGAGCGTGGGGAGGATGGGAAGGGATGGGAAGGGGAAACATAGAAGGGGGCTACAATGCTTGATAAGAAATGTACTCATTATCTTGCCCATGTAATTGTAACCCCTCTGTACAGTATTTTCACACACAAAAAAAAGTTAAAAAAGAGAGTCTCATGGATTTTAATGCCCAGACTGGCTTCAAACTATGATCCTCAGATCTCAGCCTCCTGAGTAGCTAGGATTACAGGTGTGAGCCATCGGTACCCAGTTTAATTTGGCTTTTTAATGAAAACTTAGAGATACCTGTTAGTGTCATTTTCTTGTAACATTCTACTTCTGCTTCATTTTCTAGGGGTGAAGCTAAGTAGCCTTCTTGGTAAAAAAGGAAACTTGGAAAATCTGCAGAGCTACTGGGAAGTTGGATTTTTTCTGGGAGCCAGTGTCCTAGCCAATGACCACCTAAGAGTCATTCAAGCATCAGAAAAGCTTTTCAAACTGAAGACACCAGCATGGTGACAATAAACTCTTATGTGTCTATACAATTCTTCTAAATAAATAGTCTCACGGTGTACCCATATTTTATGTATTGAACTATAATTAGATAATTTTATTTTTAGAATAAAATCCAGAATCTTAAAGAAAAATGTCAGGTCCATAAAGAAATTGTGCAGAATATAAGGTCTGATGAATTTAGAAGGTGATCAACCAGCCACTTATGTAGGCTTTCCTCCACATTGTTTAGTGTACAGGGCCAGCTAGGCCAATGTCACTCATGTGAAGCAGGCCAAGGCCACACATTCTGTAGTACCTCCAAGTCTGATCGTATCTAGAACCTGAGATCACAAGTCCATCTCAGACTTGCTGGGCTGTGTTCCACACATACGCCCATTGTTCCTTCAGGAAATCCGTGTTTTCTTAGTTTTAAAAGCCTCATTCATAGTTTTCATTCCCTTTTACTTGGAGTATGCCAGAGATACAGAAGTGTTTCCCATGTCTGTGTGATTATTTTATGATGTCACATTGTTCTTGGAATGAGCCCAGCTCTTATTATCTGTGTGGTAGTGGAGAGATGAAAACAAACTTCCAGGTGCATTTAAGGCCATTGGGAAAAACAATATTAACACTTTTGTGTATCCCATAAAATGATTGAACATCACCTATGAAGTCTTGAAAAGATGAACAAAGATGCAGAAAAGGGATATTTTCAGAGAAGCTCCACGCAGAGGCTCTGACTGGCCTCATCCTGGAAGCCTTTGAAGAGATGGCCACACAGGATGGGCCTCATGGCTTCCTGCAGGACTTCCTCACAGTCAGGACTCCTTTAGTTTTCCCTGTAACACTAGGAGTGCAAGTCTGACCTTTCTCCTCCACTGAAATCCTTCAATCAATACAGTTTAATGGCTCCTCACAGCCTGAGGGCTAAAGTCCACCTTCTTGACTCAGCAAACAAGATTTTTCCCTCAGCCATCCAGTGTCAGCTCTTGTCACGCTCAGGGGCTGCAGTGTTCTCTCCTCAGAGTCCACACAGCCACGTACAGTGTCTTAGCACCTCCCTAGGGCGCCTCTCCAGCCCTTTTATCCAACTGGGAAACATTCCTATAGCAATCACATCTGCAGATAGAGCAGACCTTGACTTAAAAATGACTTCATGCCCAAGTCCCTTCTTTCTTATTTCTGATGTCCTTTAATTTTATTTTAGATATTTAGATATTTTATTATTATCTTTAAATAGTGGTAAAAAGGAGTTGCCATTTAACAAAACAATTTATGAATACAATATGCCTTGATTAATGCTATAAAAACGTAATTAGGCCTTTTGATGTTGACTGACTTGCTTAGTGGTGTCAATTTAGTCATATTGCCACTGATATTTATTTATATTTGTATGCATTTGCCTCCATGACACCATGCACAACCTGTTAATACAGAGACTGTATTAACAGCATGATGTCAGAAAATGATATAGAGTAGATGAGTCAATAGGTTGGCTACCAGTATAGCCAATTGAAAAGAGGTAGCTGAATATCTTTAGTAAAATGCTCTATTTTGTTCCCATGAGTGTTCTAATAACAGAGAAGGAAACTAAGACACAGCAGAAAGCTTTGGCTTTAGGTATTTTGACTTCTGTTAGCAAGAAAACAGATACCATCTTATGAAATAGTAAAAACTGCCAGAAGGCAATGCCTTTGTTCCATTAACAATATTTGTGGCCAGTTAACTTACATGTTTATGGTCTACAAAGTACTTACTTAGCCATTATCATGTGTCATTATCTTGCTCTTCATATTTCCTAAGCTTTTCCTTATCTTTGTATACTATAGAATACCTGTTGTTTCAGAGCAAACCAATCTCTTAGGTAGGGTCTGTTTCAGAAAGCTTCCTTAAAGGCACATATTTTAAAGCAAATGCATTCCCCCCATTCTTTACTTGATAGACTGTAGGTATATTATAGTCACATAAGAAGATAATTGGCCTAATCCAGTTGACTTAAACCCTATAAATCTCAGATTCCTCATCACTGAAATGAAGATAAAGCCTATTTTGTTAAATTTTATGAGCTCTAAATGTATATAAAGATACATTATATAACAATGAATAATTTGATGAATATGAATATGTAATTATTGATTTCACTTATAAACTATAATTAAAGATGGCTCATAGGGACAGGTGGTCCAAATTTATATGTTCTGATATATGTTGTGATTCTTTTAATTCTTTTAATTCTCAGGTACCTCAAGTCTATTGTGGAGACAATTTTGATATATAAGCATTTTGCAAAACTGACTACAGAACAGCCCGTGGCCAAACAAGAACTCGTGGACTTCTGGATGGATTTCCTGGTGGAGGCCACAAAAACAGATGTGACTGTAGTTAGATTTCCAGTGAGTACCTTTGATTGGAATAGTTTGTTTCTGTCATTTCTTGTCTTTAAACAACATCTTGTGAAGCCATGTGCCTGTGGCTCACTCTGTAATCCTACCACTCAGGAGGCTGAGGTCTATGGATCCTGTTTCAAAGCCATCTTGGACAGATAAATCTGAGAGGCTCTTACCTCCAGTTAACCAGCAAAAACTGAAAATGGAGGTATGGCTCAGGTAGTAGAGCACTAGCCTTGAGCATAAGAGCTCAAGGCTATTAGTTCAAGTCCTAGAATTGGCACGCGTGCACACATGCACCAATGGATACTTTTAAATTCTGCACTTTTGTTGATATGGTCTCTAGGATTATTGTCATATTTGTGGTGAAAATTATCAGGCTTAGCATTGTTATTTCATCTCTAGTCCTCATTCCTCAGGAGTCCAGATTACTCAGGTAGATCAGAAATACTCATATAATATTTCTAGTCTATGTTTGCAATGCTTTGACCATTGTTTGAGGTGTGAAATTCATTTTGTCTAGTCTCTAGCAGACTCTGTGTTGTATATATGTGTGTGTGTGTATGTGTGTTCACAGATGTAAACACACACATACACACTTTTTAAAAATGAATTCTTCTCAGCTGGTGCCATCCCCATCCTGATTACACTCAGAACATCACAGTAAGGAATATGGAGTTGGCATCCAATTGAGGCATTACTGGCACCTCACTGTGAGCACAGCTCTTCTCATGTCCAAACGATGCCATAAAACTCTTGTTTTGAGCTCTATCATCTAAGTCCTCTGTATTCAGAAGTGGTGACAATTCTAGCTGCTGTGGATAAGATTGTTTTCTTCATTTAATTAAATCCATCGCTGGCATTAGCAGCTTCCAGAAAAAGCCTTGAACTCAGCAGGATCCTTAATTGAAAAGCCTTTTAAACTAAAACACTTCACTTTATTTTCTAGCCTGGATAATGTGTAGCCTAGCAAAGTCCTTATCTTGGAGTGAGCTGGCAGCTTGCCTTCAGTTTGTGCTGTGAGTAACAATAAATTCTGTGGTGAATGAAGAGAGCACACAGCAGGAGGACTTCATTGACTGTTGACTTGATGACTATAAAATTGACCATGAAAGGAAAAAAATATATATTTGCCACTTTGAACTAATTTAAATTCATTCAATACGAATTAGTGTTATAATGTAAATAATGATATTAAAAATAGAAAATATTAAATGAGAAGTTTTGAAGTCAGGTGTAAATTCCAGTTTAGACAGGCTTATAAGGTCTAAAAGAAAATATCATCAGTTGATTTCATTAAAAAATGAAGGATCTAGGGGGTGTAGCTCAGTGGTAGTGACTTGCCTATCATGCATAAAGCCCTGACTTCAATTCCAAGTACTCCTCCTCCCAAAAAAAGAAAGAAAAATTTTTTCAATAAAACACCATAAGCATGGCATTCATGGGTTAATGCAAAGCAGTTTGTGTTGAATCTGGAGCATTTAATGTAAATGTAAAATGGTTAGTTTGCGTAAAATGCAAAAAGAAAATCCTTCTACAAATTGATAAGCAAAAAAGGAGTATATCATATAAAAATAATTAACTTTACCATGTAGTCAAGTAAATATAAATTAAAATGTTACACCATTTTTTTTGCCTGTTGGCCTCAAATAAATAAAAGGTTTACAACCGTTGACAAAGGTATGAATATAGGGACTTTTCTTTAAAATGCTGGTGGGAATTGGGAAGCCATGGAGGGAAGGAAACAGTAGGACAGTGGGAGGGACATGGGGACTTGCGCTTTATTCAGAACAGGAGATGAATGTTTTGCTATCTGTAGTTTGAAATCACAAGGTGATATGTTACCTTGAAAACTTTCTCATAGCATACTGTTGAATTCTTTTTGCTGCAATCTATCTCCATCTGCACTTAGAACCAAGTGGTTTGTTTGGAGCTCTCTTGGTGAAGAGAGTCTAAGACACAGGATTTTGGATTTCTACTATTTCTCCATCAGAATTTATGACTTGAGCATTCAAAAATCACCTTCCCCCTGTTGATGCTTGTATGGGGTACAAAATTATGCTAAGAATATAGGTTTTTTTATAGCTCTTCTATGATGGAGCCTTTTAAAAAAATTTTTTTGGGATGCTGGGAATTCATCTTGTCTTAAACATGCCTGGCAGCTAATCTACCACTGCACTATACTCACAAAACCCGCAACATGCAACTAATCTACCACTGCACTATACTCACAAAACCCACAACATGCAAGTAATCTACCACTGCACTACACTCACAAAACCCGCAACATGCAGCTAATCTACCACTGCACTACACTCACAAAACCCGCAACATGCAGCTAATCTA